CGAACGGTGTTGTGTCGTCGTAGACAAGGAAGACTACGCAATACAACGCTTTTGTTCGGAGTGGAGTCGTAGCGTCGTCTAGACTGTACAAGAAGAGGCTTCGAGGTAGGTCCTGCGGGGGGGTGTAGCATATATATATATATATGTATGTATATATATATATATAGAGAGAGAGAGAGAGACTTCTGTTAATAAGGCTTAAAATCTCAAGGTTCTGCAGCTTAGGGTCTCAGGGCTGAGGGCTCGGAGTTTGGAGCTTTGGGGTTTTAGGGATTTAGGGTTTAGGGTTTGGGGTTTAGGGGTTCTAGGGATTTAGGGCTTTAGGGCTTTAGGGTTTTGGGCCTGAGGGTTTTAGGTTTTAGGGTTTAGGATTTTAGGAGCTTTGGGCTCTGAGCACGTCAAGGGTTGAGGACAGTTTCAGGTGGGTAGTTACCGTCAAAAGGAGCCTTATAGAAGGCCTATAATATACCTTCCTGAAGCCTTAAAGAAGGTCTATATGCCTTATAGAAGCCCTATATACCTTGTTATAGAAGCCCTAAAAAACCCTAACCTCCCCACCTCTAGTTTTCTTGAACACGGGTTGGGGACCATTGGATGAGTTTGGAGCTTGAAGTCTTCGTGGAGCTTCAGGGTTTGAATTTTGAATGGTGCAAGGTGGGGATAGGGTTTAGGGGTTTAGGGTTTAGGGGTTTAGGGTTTGGGGTTTAGGGGTTTCGGGCTTAGGGCTTTGCGGTCTAGGGTTTAGGGGTTTAGGGGTTTAGGGTTTAGGGCTTAGGGGTCTAGGGGTTTCGGGTTTAGGGCTTAGAGGTTTAGGGTTTAGGGTTTAGGGTTTAGATTGAGATTTGTTGGTGCTGAGATTTCACAGTCGTAGCTATGCCTCAACCCTCGCGAGCGCCGTTAAGTTTCGGAAATGGGAGCCCTTCGAGGAGGTAAGTAAGCTAAGCTCCACACTTGGAAACTTAAATCAACAAGCCCTAAACCCCAAAGGGTCCAAGTACTAGTATAGTATATACTTTGGGGGCCCAAATACCTACTAAGTACCTACTATAATGGTACTTGGACCCTTTGGGAACCCAAGACTCCAAGCCACGTGATCCACGCATCGAATGGGTGCTGCTTTATTGTGTCTACCTGCGACTTTGATTTTCAGGTTGCAAAGTCGGGCATGCCGCATTTCCCATGAGCTCTTGCCCAAAGGGTCCAAGTAACAGTATAGTATATACATATATACACATATGTAGTCTCTGGGGGCGTATATAGTCTTTGGGGGCCCTAACCCTAAACCCTAAACCCCCAAACCCTATACTTTGGGGGCCCTAAGTAGCTACTAGTTTGGTACTTGGATCCCTTGGGTTGAGCTTCAGCCTAAAAGGGCTTTGGGTTTAGGGTTTAGGGTTTAGGACGGTGCAGGGTTTCGTCCGGCTTTCCGAGTTGGGATCAGGTCACGAGCCTCCAACTTAGGTAGCCAATGGGAGAACTTTAAGCTTTTTGGCGTTACGTATTAGGTCTACCCTAAAAAGTTTGAACTTGTTTGGGCCCTAAACCCTAAATCCTAAACCCTAAACCGTATTTTTGAAGAAGAGAGCCAAGTCTCGAAGTGCCCAAACCTTGTCCGAAAGCCTAGACTCCGTCTTCAATCCCGCCTCGAACCTCAAAATCGGCAAAGCCCAAACCCTAACCCTAAGGGTCCATGTACTCAAATACTATATGCAATGGCTCCAAAGTACCTAAATAGGGACGACTTTAAGGCCAAAGTATGTACTATTTGGGCACCCCCCCCCCCCCTTATTGCAGGGATTAGATTTTTTCTATTTCGATAATAGAATAGAATTGCTCGGATTTTTGGGATGTATTCGCAAGAATAAATTATTTAAGGTTGTCGTGTTGCGAATTACAATAGTTAGTATTATCCTCAAAGCCCTTGCGTAGCCCTCAAACGCGACAGGAGACGAAGAGCTGCGGCCTGGACTTCCTTGGACATGAGCCTCAAGGGTCCATGTAATATTTAGGGTTTAGGGCTTTTGGGTTTAGGGTTATAGGGGCCTTATAGTAATGACTTATACTATTTTGGAGGTTGCTTATCACAATTATAGTATAGAATGACCCCGAACCCCATGCTAATAATTAAGGCCTCAAGGGTCCCTGTAACATATGGGCCTTAGGAATTGCTTATATTATTCTGGGGGCTTCCTTACTATACATATCAGAGTATATTCTCTTCCAACCAAAACCTTATTCTAATTATTAAGGCCCGTACATTACCCTTTTAGGGGTTCCGTGAAGGGTTCCTTTGAAGGTACAATAATGAAAGGCTCTTACAAGGGGGGAACTTTAGGCTACCAAAAGGCCCTATCTACAAGGTTTAGTTTAGCCCAAAGAGTCCAACGTACCGATCTAGTAGAGTGTAGGGTTTCTATATTATGAATTACTATTATGATCCCTACAACGGTACATAGGACCTTTTGGGTAGGGGATAAGGATCCATGTTCTTCTCCATCCTGTGCCGTGAAGTTTCCATGGAAGGCCCACGTAAATGCGATGTAGGATGCTTTAGTGTGGCTTTGTTTGGGTGTAGGGCTTATAGCCCATGAACAAGACACGCATGTGATGAAGGGGTTCAACGCTTACTGCTGAGGCAGTAGGGCACCATCAGTGGCTGATGTACGATTCCACATTACAGCTAGTCCTAAATTTCCTATCGAAGTAGCGCCTTTGGGCAATCAGACATGCCCTAAACCCCACTTCTCTGCTCTTGAGAATTGCTACCAATCCAAGAACCTCACCTGTCAATGCTTGACTGCTGGCGCCTCGTCACAATCGGCTTTGCCGTTCTTCTTGTATCAAAGACTAAGACGAGTATCGCAGGCATGTGCAACCCCATCGACCTGTTGCAATGTGTGTGAGAGTCGGACCCACCAACTCGTACATACCTTGAACAACTAAAGCCTTTTTTCCAGAGTACCCATAAATCCCATATTTGGGTTTAGAATCATGATGGTACCAATGACTCAGTTTGGAAAACACTCAAATCCCAGGGGTCGCGACGCGACAAAGGATGCCGGATATGATCCGATGTGGAAGCGGATTGAACCCCCGAAGCCCTCGGAAAAGACCCTGGCCTAAGCCCCCAGATCTTCCAATATCCCCCCCCCCAAGTATAAGGAGTTCGAATTTCATACCTCAAAGCTATGGTTAACATAAAACCCAATTATAAGGAACATAGGTTTTATACCTTACAAGTTATGGTTGGTTATGGTTAAAATAAAACCCAACTACAAGGAACATAGATTTTATACTTTGTAAGTTATGTTGGGTTCAAGGAGTGTATACTGTAACTTCTGTATATTGGAAGATCGGGACCCTCCCCCCACGCTGCCAAGGCAGAAGCTCCGCTGCAGCCTGCGCCGCCCGCCAACAGCTTCTCGTTCGAACTAGACTTTAAGGTTAACTAAAACCCTAAATCCCAAAACCCTCAAAACCCAAAACCCCAAAACCCTCAAAACCCTAAATCCCCAAACCCTCAAAACCCTAAATCCCCAAACCCTCAAAACCCTAAATCCCCAAACCCTCAAAACTCCAAACCCTAGGCTGCAGGGGCAGAATCGGCAAACTCTTGTCCGATGTGTCCGTAATAAACCCTAAACCCTAAACTAGAGTTTAGGGGTTTTTGTCGGGTGTAGAGGGCTAAGGATTAGGGAATTTGTGATGCTTCGGGTATCACGGGGTCGAGTGCAGATCTTTCGGTTCATCGCCCTTTGAAGCTGCCTCAGTTTTTGAGGCTTTTTCTCGAGGAGTCTTGCGGACCAGATGTTCGGGTCTAGGGTTTAGGGTTTAGGGTTTGAGGCTGTGGTGTACAGCAGCGCTCATAACGTTGGGTAGGCAAGCGTGGCTGGGCACCAGTTGCTGGTGGTGCCGGTGCTTTTGGCATCTTTGGTGTTAGTTTCAACAACCCGTGTAGTGGAGGAAGTCGTCATTGTCGGCGTCAAATCAACACTGTTGTGGCTGCTGCAGATGCTGACACAGATGTTGCTACTGCTGCTGCTGTTGCTGCTGCTACTGCTGCTGGTTGTGAGAGCGAGACGGAGAAAGAAAGAAGCAGTTTTAACCAAGAGACAAGGAGAGAGAAAAGGGAGGAGGAGGGTGACAGAGAGGTGGAGAGACACGCAGAAAACGACAAGAGATCCCGGCAATCCTATCCACCATGACATCCCCTCGGCTGGAGCAGTACAAATACAGTATCGGCTTCATAAGGCAGGAACCCTAAACCCTACACCCAAACCAGGAACTCGCATCACCCACAGTCATGTTTCTGGTTGCCACGAGGAGCTGCCTCCGCCCCAAGACGGCGTAGAGACTCTAGGCGCGCCCATGTTGGGGTACATATGGGTAGTTCTCTAAATTAGGGTCCCTGTTTTTGGT